TATCAGTGTCCTTTCTTTGTTCATTCAGATGGCAAATTTATAGTTCGTATGGTCAGCAGAATGAATGCAACACTCAGAGACGTAATACGGGACACCCAGGTACAGAAGTCCAGTCTACACGCTGGAATACATGCTAAGATCTCATGGCCGTGACGCAGCTTCAAAAATTAGTTTCAAACCGGAAGTATGAATTTGCTCGAAATAACGTAAAACAACCAATTTTCACTTTTTAGTGAGATATGTGTCCTAAAACAGTTTTTAGCAGTGTGGGACACATAGACGACTGTCAACAGCTCAAAAAATGTGTTTTGGCATTTCGTGACTCTTTAAAATACTGCAAGCATGCATTATGTTTAACATATCAGAGTTCAAACGAGGACAAACTGCTGGTATGCATTTTGCTGGTGCATCTGTGACCAAAACAGCAAGTTTTTGTGATGTATCAAGAGCCATGGTATCCAGGGTAATGTGAGCATAACACCTGAGAAAGGTATGGCCAGGTGTCAAACTTACTGTATCCAAAAACATAAACCTACAGCTGCCCAAATCTCCTGTTTCCAACAAAACTGTTCTTGGGGAGCTCCACAAAGTCAATATACATGGCTGGGCTGCTGTAGCCAAACTTTTTGTGAACCATGCCAGTGCCAAACGTCAGTTTGAATAGTGCCAACAGCAAACATCTTGGGCTGTGGACAATGTGAAACATGAGTTATCTTATACGTCAATGTCTTTCCCACATAAAAAAAAAAAGAGTTAGAGTGTGGATAGGCCCCAAAGAAGCATACCACCCTGGCTGTTGCATGCCCAGAGTGAAGCATGGTGGTGGATCAGTGATGGTTTGGACAGTAATATCATTGCATTCCCAAGGCCAAATACTTGGGCTAGATGGGTGCATCAGTGCCAACGACTACCGAACCATTCTGGGGGACCATGTGTACCAAATGGTTAAAACATTGTATTCTGAGCGCGCTGTCATGTATCAGGATGATAATGCATTAATACAGCAAGACTGGTGACATCATTCTAATGAACATGAAGGTGAAGTTGAATATCTTGTATGGCCTGCACAGTCATCAGAACTAAATATTATTGAACCACGCTCTTGTGTATGTGATTTCAACAACTAGATGCATTTAGACGTCATTTAGACAAGTTTTAATGCAGACCACCTCCTGAAGTTGTGTGAGTGATCAAATTTAGATGTCTTAAATACATTTTGGGTTGGATTTAAATAGGTGGCTATGCATATAACTGCTATGCATATAATTAACAATAGGGTGGCTATGAAATCATAAAAAGTCATGAAGAGGTGACTAGGTACAAACAGCCTCTATTTCAATAATGCAACATGGTTAGTGTGCTGCATTTGTACCATGCCTTGTTCGTAGATTACACAAATCATAGCTTGTCCACTTTAACCCACTTCTAGAGAAAGTCAAAAACCTTCAGTATAATTTCTGACAAAATGTGATTGTGAGCACACCAAATCAAAATTGTTGCAGACTACACCCTTTTATTCAATTGCTTTCCCACTTACTTGTAAGCTGCATAGCATTGGGTTTCTTCATTTGGGTGTTGCGTTAAGCACTCCTGCAGAAGTGATGACAAAATCACATAGAGAATGGTCTAAATAAAGTTTAATCTCAAAAGAGTTGTCAGTAGATTTTAACTGACCACTTGTTATTGTATCAGAGAACCTCAATTGGCTCAGTCACGCAGTTACAAAGAAAAAGTCAGACTCTGAGTTCTAGGAGTTGCTGTAAAAGCTTTTTATTGCGAAGTACAGTAAATGCTTGTCCTTTTAGAATTTAGAATTCATGTTTTGTTTTCTTCACATTCTTGATCTTTTATTCAAAACCAACTTGTTATGGCACTTATAGCAGTGGGTGAAACTCTGTATGCAAGTGCAACAATAATAGCAAAGGCCATTTGAGCAGGTCTGATTGGTGCATGACAATGTTTCAAGTCTGTGCTGCGTAAACACATGAAACACAAAAGCTACGTTCACAGGGTATCAAGACATCACAGGCTCTATCCACGTATCCCCAAATATAATGACACGGCCTGTCGACGTTTGTTATTTAAACCATGCATGGCTTGCTTTCTCTTAAATTAGAATTTTCACAGAATAACACTGCATTTGACCTATAATACACTATTCTATACAAAATACAAACAAAACATGAACACAACATCAAATAAAAAAGTTGAAGTGACATTTACACAATTTTACAGCATCTGTCTCATGTTTAGCCTCTACATCGGGGTTCTACTTTACAAGTATCTAGTCTCTTATCCACATAACTCAGAGTAAAAATCTGAGGGAAAGGTGAAAACATACTCTATAACACTCCATTTTGCAATTCCTTTTGCGAAATTGCATGCTACACATGATAAGGTGCTAAATGGTTCTACTATCACAGACACTGGACGTGTCTCTGTGGTAAATTGTGGAGAAAAAACAAAACAAACATCAACAAAAAATGTAGCAATTAACTTAAACACAAAGAAAAAAACAAAAAACAGGAAAGGGTTTGTTGACCAACTATTGCTAACGTTCTGTAACATCCTGGCTTCAAACCAGGATTTAGGATTTAGATTTTTTTCAGTAAAAAAATGTTTTATGAAGAATTGTCATGCAGATCTTTTCACAATCGTTTGTATTGATCTATAGCAGTTAACAAGTAAAAGCACCAAAAAGTAGTCCAATGATTTCAGGGCTATATTAAAAGTCATATGAGTAATATGATAGCTTTTTGCAACAAACACATTAACTGTTTAATTTGATCTAAATAGAGCTAACTATTAACTCACAATATCCATTTTCCCCCAACAACAGAAAATTAAGTGAGTTTCAAGGTTTAATGCAAAATCAAAATTGTGATTTAAGAGAGCTATTCTTCTAAAATGCCAGAAAAAAACCCTAAATGTTTCCCACTTACTTTTCCTGAAATGCCAATAATCAGATTCTGATAGAACCACATTTCTTCAAGGCACTCTTGATAAAAATGCTATCACTTTTTTTTAACAAATATGGCTAAGTCCTTTTAGTTAAATTAGAAATCTGTCTACTTTTGCAGCTCAAGTTATGACATGAACGTATTGTTAAAGAGAAAATGCATGAAGAAATTGAAGCTGGAGGGAGAAATACAGACTTTTTGTTGGTTTGTCATTATTTGTGTGAAAGTAAGTTGATTATCTTAGAGTTAAACAGGTTTTGATCACACAAGGGGAAAAAAGAAAACATTTTAAGAATTCCCCTAAAGCATGTGTCCACCAAAGCATTTTTTTCATAGCTACTATTCATATAATTATAATTCTTTTTAATTATAATTAATATATTAATATAAATTAATTCTTTTTTTTTCAACTTTTTTTTAAAAATGACAACAAACAGATGCACTGAAGTCACTTTTTCCACTGCTCGGTATAGTTCCACTAACTTCGGTTTGGTTTGATTTCCACAGCAGTTTAGTACCGCTAATTATCGCTATAGTTGTGTCACCTATGCTTCCATAACATAAACGCAACTTAAACAAATGAGCACACAGTATCTCACATTGAAAGTGATGCTGGTAATGATGATTCTCTCGAACTAATCAGCAGTGTTTATGAACCTCACCGTAGGTGGTTCTAAAATAAGGACTAAATAGTATGTATTATCTTGAATGCAGTGGAAAATCTCCAAAAACAACATAGCACCATGCAGCATTCAATAATTTTCTTTTCGGTTTAATCCTTTTATTAATCAGGGGTCGCCACAGCGAAATGAACCGCCAACTTATCCAGCATATGTTTTTTGCAGCGGATGCCCTTCCAGCTGCAACCCAACACTGGGAAACACCCATACACTCTTGCATTCACACTCATACTCATGGGTGGTTGTGGGCTGCCATCGCATCATCCAGATGGATGCTGCACACTGGTGGTGGATGAGGAGATCCCCCCCTATGTGTAAAGTGCTTTGAGTGTCCAGAAAAGCTCTATATAAATGTAAGGAGTTGTTTATTATTATTATTAACATGCAAACTCCACACTGAAAAGCCAACTGACCCAGCCGGGGCTTGAACCAGCGACCTTCTTTACTGTGCCCCCATGACGTCCCACCATGCAGCATATATGTTTTATTTTATTTCTTTCTGGTTACCAGAGATTTGACGAGAAAGTTTAAGAATTTTGGTTGTAGGACAAGGTATATCTTTTACAAATGATCTGTGGAAACAGTTGCTAGTAACTGATGCCTAGACTAACCGTCTCAAGTGAAAAACAAAAAAAGACTAAAAGCACTGCACTGTAGGCACATTTCAGACTACAAATTATTGAGTGACCCGAAATGATAATTTACACAATTAGGAAAATAGGAAAATGAATACTATAGAAGTTGACAGTTGGTTCTGATGCTTTAACAGAAAAAAGAAAGTCGAACGGGATTGAAAAGATGACAAGAAGATGAGAGAAGTTTAATTTGTGGGTGAACTATAGTTTTAACATTTTGAATCTTGATTAGAATTGAAAATAGTTCTACATTAAATGCTTTTTTTAAAGATGTTTAAACCTTTAGGACTGGGGAAGAGACAGAAATGAGAGAGAGAGAAAGGATCAACAAAGGACCTCAAGCCTGTAATTGAACTTGGGTCACCATGAGCACCTAAGTGCTATATGCCCACGCACTAACAACTAGGCCATTGTCGCCAGCCAACTTGGTTATTTCTGGTCTTTTAACCTTGTATCAGTTGACATTTTGACAGCATAATGCGTGAAACACTCTACAGCTAGGCATTTTGAAAAGAGCTACAGTAAAATACTTTAGTGGACACACAGCTTTCACAGCTCAACTGAAGCTAACCAGACATGTAACACAAACCCTGCCTTTTTTAAAACAGGTGAGACAAACAAATTTATCACAGTGGTAACCTATAAAAATCACCACTGATTTACATAAGATGTGATCGCTAAAGGTGCTACTACTTAATGTCATCTGAATTAAACCAAACAGCCAGTACCAACAAAATTATTTTGGGTTTATTTTAAAGGCCACAGCGGTAAGAGATGGATATTTGCCTTTGTACTGGAGAACTAGACAAGCATTCTCTGTGTATGTGTGAGCGTCTAGAAACATTGTGCATCAGGAAGTTGCGCAGCAACTGTGCTTGTTTTCTTTCAAAAATGCATTAAAATAACATTTGGGAACTCAAGTTAACAGTCCACTGGTAAAGAGCAGGAACGGTGGACGTGCACCTGAGTGGTTTCAATCATTCCACGCTGGGACAATATGCAAATGCAAGTGAAGCTAATAAAGGTTTGACTACACGCCCAAGGATAAGCATAGTATGATGGGTTAGTAATTATAATCCCTTTCTCCTGTGAGAATATCAGTTGTCCACAGTAAAAGACAAACCCAGAAACATGCACCTGCTCCAGAATCAAGCAAACATGTGTGTCCAGCTCATATTATTTGTCCAGACCCTGAGCGTCTGCTGTCTCACACCTGCATCTCAGAGCCGCTGGCCAAACCCAGAGCCTGTGCCTCCTCCGGGGTAAGACCGTTCTTCAGTGTTCTTCTCACTGTCGACAGATAGAATAAGTGTGAGGCAACTGTGGAGAATGATGCCATTTTTTAAGGGAGATCAGAAAATCATATATAATATTAAACACCTGCTGTTTTAAAATGGTAATAAATGCTATTCAGACTAATACAAATTATAGTAATAAATTATATATTTATTAAATATTTTACAAAAATTCTATTTAAATAACAATCAATGTTTGTGTTTTTTAAATTTGTACAAACATATTGAAGATATTTTAATAGGTTTTAATTGTAATTATTTCCTGATAAATTTGAGTAACATTGTAATCACTACAGTCTTGTAAAACTTTTTTGTTCAAATTTTGTTCTGAAGGGGTAGTAGTTGTAGTAGTGGAATAGGAATAAGTAGTAGTAGACATTGTATCAGTCATTAAAAAAAATAAAAAATTCTGAAAAGACGCTTGAAGACTGAATAACTGAAAGGATATGCCATCACAATAGTACATAACATTTTAACAGAATACAGTTATAAATTGCAATAATATTTTACAATATTTCTTGCTTTTACTGTATTTGATCAAATAAATCAAGCCTTCTTGAGCAGAAGACCTGATCAAAATATATTACGTTGGAAAACTTAGTACTGAAATCGATACTTTAAACGACTCTAGTCCAGACTTTACTTGAAGGTGCGCATATCAAGATTGTTTTTATTTGCAACCTTTGTGAGGTAATTTCTATTTTCTAGACAAGCCAAGTTTTTAAATGAGACCACAGGTTTAAACCATGGACATCTATTTGTAATCAAATCAACCAAAAAGCATTTAAATCAAGGTGTATTAATTAGTGTTTGAGACTCACAGGATTTGCGGTTTGCTCTGGAACGTCTCCTCTCACGAGGCTGTGTTCTCTGACTGGGGCCCTGAGTGGCTGATTTCACAATCCGCTCCATGATCTCATCTGCTGTGTCATTTGTGCAATTAGAAGTGTCTTCATTTGCAGTGGACAAAAGTGCTGTATGACCTTGGAAACAGATGAGAAGACAACAAGTTTCGATTTAGTCTTAGTAAATATAGCTTGGCAGAAATGACAGAACACTGTAAGCCAAAGCAAAGTTTAAAGGGAAAGTTTACATCAAAATGAAAATTTACTCACTATTTACTCTCAAGTAGTTTCAAATCTTTTTAAGTTTCTATCTACAAAAAATAAAATATTTTGAAGAAAGGTGAAATTATGAACTACTGAATTCCATTATACTACTTAGGGTCAATGGTGTATGGGGTCAACGGATTGTTCCAGAACCGAACAAGTCACAGACCATATTATTCTTAAAAGATTGGTTGGTACCTACATGTCTGAGCTTTGATTTCATTTTCAAAGCAATCCAAAGGCACCCAGCAAAAGGTTATCCAGAGGATGACTTGCCATTCACGATCACAACTGCGTGCTAATTAACTCTACACCTTAAAACAATAAAAGAGGCTCTACACTTAAAAACCCTCCAAACCGGTTTTTGAGAAGTGCCTTTTGATTCACACCTGCGACCCGCGTCTGAGAGGAATACACATTCTAGGCAGACCAAGAAGCGATCAGAAAAGCTTTTAAAGTTTAAATGGACATTTAAGTAAAACTGTGTTTATTTGAGTAATGTATGTTTGCTTTATGTTTCTGTAGGTTTTTGTGTGTACATGTTCCATGTGTTTAACAAAACTTTTATGGATAGTTACTGAGCTATAGCCCTCAGTGACAAATTCAATCTAAAGAATGTTTGTGAAATACTTCATCTTTGGTATTGATTAAAAGCTAGGAAAGTTTCAAATTCATTGGTTTATATGAAGAAACCATACTATAAAAAGTGTCCATGTTATGATTCTTTATTTTAACAACTTTGCCATCAAAGCAGCACCAACACAATTTGCCAACCCAGCCTTCAAGAGGAGGCAACTGCAGTGTGACCCCACCCCACAGCTTCTCTGATTGGACACTTATTGTGTAGACCCAGCCTCTACAAAAGCCTATAAAACTTTGAACAAAGGAAATTTCTTTGTCATCTTTTGCCGGTCATCTCTGCCAGTCGTCACCGCTTCAACAACAAGCCATCGGGTCAACACCATAACTCTGAAACTACAGAAACCCCAGGAAGGACTTTGAACTTCGCCTCGTCCAACATCCGTATCTCTAGCAACCGACTCCAAGGCTGTAGCTGTTTCTCAATATGCGTTCTTTAGCGGCTTTGCGTCCTTGTGTTCCCCTTCGGTTGGGGAACTTCAGTGCTATTAAGTGGATTTGATCTTTGTGAAAATCCACAAAATGGGAGGATTCGGTTCAGAAGCCGCTTGTCTGAAAGAGTATTGAACGGGCCAATGAATGCAATTAATTGGCAGCGTAAGCTTGCACAGGTGTGCCTCATTGCCAATTATCCCAGCATATAAGCACACCTGGAGCGAACAAACGCCATCCTTTTCGCTTCAGAGACTTTCTGATCGAGTCGATGAGGGTTCCTCCTGCTGTGACCAGCCGTTCTGAGCGAACGAGAGCATTCTCCCGGTCCAGAGTGTGTACACGCAGTGGCAGACGGTCGAGCTGGGTTTCTCCCTTGCCTGGCGTTCTTTGGGTCGGGTCCTCCAGAGCGGTGCGTATAAAGTTGCAAACTTCACAGAAAGAGCAACACAGTCATGCAGCACGTCCTTTTCAGGACGGCGCTGCGAACTGTGCGTTTCTGGATGCGGTGGTTTCCTGTCCTCGGATGATGGGCACGGGCACTGCGTTGCATGCCTGGGGGGTCCAGCATGTTAATGCGCTGCTCGCGTGGAGTTCATGTCGTCATTGCGATGCCATGACTGTTGCGCAGTAAATATCGCGGCTAGCTTTTGCAAAAGGGCGAACCACCCCAGTGGTCCCCTGCTCTGCAGCGGGCACTCGGGCAGATCTGAGAGTTTCAGCGAGAGATAATCCGTCGCCCACGGCGCCGCGGACACCCCGCTCCTCTAAGCGCTCCATCCAAGCTTTGGGCGGGGGAAGCGATCCGTCTAACAGATGGTAGCCCTTACGCCCGATGACACCGGAGACCAGACGTCCACCGCGGCATCGGAGGGTGGGCTTTTATTGTCCGATGATCCAGACCCCTCCGGGCAGGTGAGCGCTGTCACTACGGATCCTGAAACGGACATGTTAGCGGTGCTTTCCCGGGCTGCTGAGCCTACTGTGCACCTCCGGGAAGAAGGGAACACCCCTCTAGTCGGTTCGGCCGCGGAGCTGGGGGATAAACCATCTCCAAACCGACTAGAGGGGTGTTCCCTTCTTCCCGGAGGTGCACAGTAGGCTCACGCGGTCTTGAAGAGCACTTTTCTCTGCTCGTGCTGCGTGTCCCTCCACCCTCACCACTCTTGACGGTGGAACAGCCAGGGGGTATGTGGCGATTCCTCAGGTTGAGTGCGCGATGGCGGTCAATCCGCGCGGCGCCTCTTCTTGACGGGGTCCGCCTCGTCCCCCATCCAAAGCCTGTAAGTTATCTGCCTCCCTCGGAGCTAGAGCTTACATAGCTGCGGGCCAGGCTGCTTCCGTCTTGCATGCGATAGCCACCTACCAGCGCTACCAAGCGCAGGCGCTGGACAAGCTGCACGAGGGTGGGTCCAACCCAGGCTTACAAGCTCCGCACTGCCGCCAACTTAGCTCTTCGGACTACTGAGTCCGCTGCGTGTGCGTTGGGGAGGACGATGTCCACATTAGTGATCCAGGAGCGCCACCCCTGGCTGATATGCGCGAAGTCGACAAAGTCCGCTTTCTTGACTTCCCCATATCCCAAGCCATGTTCGGCGATACCGTCTGTAAATTCACCCAGGAATTCAAGGCGGTGAGAGATCAGTTGATGGGTGATGTCTTATCGGCGGTCCGTAGCCCGCTCCGCCCGCCGTGCCATTCATACCTGCTCCTCGCCGAAGGCGCCCGCCTACGAGAGCTGCTCCGCCCCCGCACACGCCTCTGGCGAAGCAACCGCGTCGGGCACCTTGGAAGCAGGCAGCCCCCCCTGCCCAGAACGCCGCTAAGTCCGGCAACGGACCTCGAAGTGTCCCTGGGACAGGCCATCTGGAAAAGAGGGAACTTGCTCTTTCCCCGCTGGAGGGCGGGGCCCCATTTCCAACGGCACTTTTTACTGCCATGAAAACATCATGAAAGAGCACTTTTCCACTTCCCCGGATGTGACAGCCCGAAATCTGCCAGTCTGGGACGCTATGCTGTCTAGCTTGCAGATTTGGTGCGTTTCGCCAGTGGCTCACGAGCGCTGGGAGGACGGTCTCCTTTCTCCCACCCCTTGAGCCTCCCCTCCGGAGATTGGGTGCGGAGTGAGAGCAAATATCTCACCTCCAGCTTTTCCGTGGGACCCGCGCACTTCCGTTCACCTGACCCTTCACCTGAAGTTTATCGTTATCGGAAGAAACACTTCAATTCAACATTAGCTAATGACTTGCAATTGTGCCATTATGTTATGACTTTACTTTTTGAGGCACATGGCTAACTAATTCAAAAGCCATAACAACAATAACATATTACTTAATGATTAGTTAACAGTCCTGTGCCTCAACACTCAAGTTGTTATTTAATGCACATTTCTACCATTATTGTAAAGTGTTACATATTTGTAAGTGTTAAATATTTGTTTTTCAAATATATAAGATTTTTTTACATTTTATTTCAGGTTGCAAAAAGTTTTAACCAATACATTTAAAATAATATTTTGTTTAACCAATAGTTTTAGTTTGCAAAATTAATTTTGTTCAATATATTTACATAACATGATTGTGAATGTACCTCGAGTGGCTCGGGTCCGTGTGCGAAGGCCAGGAAGGACAGATGATGGACTATCGCCACCCTGCAGGCTGGTACAAAGCACTGCGGTCATCTGCTCATGCTCAGTCACGTCCTCTGTGTAGCCCAAACCCTGCGGTTGACACTCCTGACCCTCCATAGGACTTCCTGCAAACTTCCCACTCTGACAACACAAAGTCATCGATATTAAAAATATGAGCACAAATAGCACTCCGCTGGAAGATTTTTTTTCACGTTTTATTATTAGTTATTATAAGTTTCACTCCAAACAGTGCACTTTCATAAATATGCTTCCAATGTACAGTATGATTAAAAGTAATATTCCCATAATCAATATAAAAAAAAAAAACATACAAACAAAATCACATCTGAACATTCGTAAAGATCAGTTTATAATGGTTTAGTAGTATAATATTCACACATTAGGGGATTATATAGTGCATCATATAACAGAAGAGGGGATCCGGAAAAACTTAATTGTATCACTATTTTTTTTAAGAAATTGTTTTAATAAAACAACATTGCAAGTTAAAGTTAGAAGAAATAATAATAAAAAAGGACAAGACAACAAAAAAACATTTGTTTAAACTGAACTGACAACAAATGAGAAAACATATGTTTTAAAGTTATTTGTTGGATCTATATAAACAATCTATTTTCAGTTTATTGCTAAATATGCGGCCATCGTGGTGGCGCAATAGGTAGTGTTGTTGCCTCACAGCAAGAAGGTTGCTTCGAGCCTCAGCTAGGTCAATTGTTATTTCTGTGTGGGTTTAGCATGTTTTCCCCGTGTTCGTGTGGGTTCGTGTGGGTTCGCGTGGGTGCTCCCGTTTCCCCCACAGTCTAAAGACATGCGGTACAGTTGAATTTGGCAAGCTAAAATTGTCTGTAGTGTATGTGTGTGAATGAGTGTGTAAGGGTGTTTCACAGTGATGGGTTACAGCTGGAAGGGCATCCGCTGCATAAAACATATGCTGGATGAGTTGGCAGTTCATAATGCTGTGGCGACCCCAGAATAATAAAGGAACTAAGCCGAAAAGAAAATGAATGAATGCAAAATATGCATTTTAAAATAAGTTTTAAATATTCTGCAAAGCATTGTGGGTAATGTAGATTTTCACAAAGAATGAAAATAAATGAACCCCTTTGACTAAGTCTGAAATAATTTTTTTTAAATGTTTTTTTTTTTGTTACAGCTAAAATCAATTTCCGAATAGAAAAAAAAATGTTTTACTTCCACAACAAGAATGTTGTGCTCTAATCGAACTCAAATCAAAAACCTCTTATACTGAAAAATGCATTTACATTGTATATCACAGGATTTAAGTTTAATGTGAACTACTAAAATGATGTTTAATCTATAAATTATACTGTTTGTAAAGCAGTAAACTAGTTTAACATTTTCATATGTTCAGCTAAATGGAGAACTTTGAAAATTGCATATACAATGAAGAGAAGAATAGATTCTACAGCCTCCAGTTGTTGCAACAGGAACTAACATCAGGTGTGGTAATATTGTACATGCTAAACAATACAGGTCAGTGGAGTTACAGGAAGAAAACATTAAACCATTCATGCTCAAGTGAACCAAATCACACACATTCAGGCATACCTCATCCTCCTCTTCCTCATCACTCTACAGAGAAGACAACACACAGGGGGAAGAACATAAGAGCAGGTAATATTAGGGTGAAAAAAGGGTTTGGAATTTGATTTGACACAACTACACTAAACTTTACTTCCAATGCACTTCCAAGTCAGGTTAGCTTTCTTTCTTTCTTTCTTTCTTTCTTTCTTTCTTTCTTTCTTTCTTTCTTTCTTTCTTTCTTTCTTTCTTTCTTTCTTTCTTTCTTTCTTTCTTTCTTTCTTTCTTTCTTTCTTTCTTTCTTTCTTTCTTTCTTTCTGAAAAAAATGCATTACATAATTGGATTAGATCATGTAATCCAATTTTGGTTTTGATCAGAATTAAACCTTTAGTTTTGGTTTTTCAGACTTTCTTTGAAAGATTTGGTTCACTTTGATCCAAAAAAATCTGGATTTAACTATATATATATATATATATATATATATATATATATATATGAGCAATATCACACTCCCAGTGCGATATGGCTGTATATTGGAACTGGTGGGAGGCGTGCAATGGTACGAGGCCGCAGGCCCATTCAGTGCCAATATACAGCCATATCGCACTGCTAAGAGTGTGATATTGTGTTTATACAACAGTTTGATGGCATAGTTGTGTATATAAAAACTAAATCAAACACAAAGAGTTTCAAAAACCCTTTTGTATGTGGAACTACTTTCTTCCACATTGGATTCAAATTATAAGCTGACAGTTAAACAGTTGAGCAAGCATCTTTTGAACTTTAGATCTATAGTGTCTGCTTTTTGCTGGTTGTATGTAGGTGGAGTAATACACAAAGGGTAAAGAGGCTGTAGGAGTTCTGAAATTGCAGAATATTGCATGGCTATTAACCAATCAGATTTGAGAACCAGACAGAACTGTTCTATAAATAAATAAATAAATATATAACCAAGGCCAGACTTGAGATCACCTCCTAAAGGCTATGCTCAGACAAGCTCCACATCAGATGAGGAAGTCTAAAATTATTGTGGAGTTTTTGACATTAAGTCTTTTTTTTTTTCAATACTTCTGTATTTTAAACTTGTTATAAATATCCTCAATGGACAGTGTTTGTGTTTTAGGCATCAGATGAGCGGACTGCTGGAAGAGGATGGGGTGGGGTTTTTCTTGTCTTTTGTTTTTTTTTTTTAGTATTTTTTAAAGTTATATTGACCCCACACTGGCTATTCTACTCGTTGCTTTTTACATCTCTATAGTTCTACATTGTGATTTCCTATTCTGTTTGAGCACTGGCTATCCAGATTTAGTGATCCTGAAAAGTTTCTATCTGGATCAGATTGATCCAATCCAATGTTGCTTTGAAAAACTGGCTCAAAAAGTAAGCTGGAGTACTCGATCATGAATCGCAAATAAAGGATTACTAAATCCAGATCAATTTTAATCGGATTAAACCTTTTGAAAAACCAGGCCCAGCTGAACAAATCATTATTAAACTGGTAAGTGATATTCTAAATTGATCTCTCTCTTTTTGTATGTTGTAGTGCTGTATTTACACCATATAATTGTAGTGTATTGAGTGTGAGTGTGGGACTCCGATATCAGGAATGTGTGTATTTTTAGTAGAAAGAACGCAGAAATGCCCGCGTGTGTTTAGCATTTTCCTTACTGCAAACACAACAGCAGTCTGGTAGTGATTGCGCAGCTTTTTTCTGGATTAATTATTGTGATATACTGATTGCAACAGAGAACTATTGAAACTGTAATAAACTGTGATTTTATAGAACATATCGCTGTAGACAGATGGCATTTTATGTCACGTTCAGCCTAATAAACTTAAAGTGTGAGCAAAATTATCTGTTTTGTCATTACTTCAGACATTACGCTAGAGAATCATTTAAACACTAGCTTTAAAGTGATGTTGGTGAATTAATAACGGCTTCTGCTGTTCTGACATCAGCTGCAGATGTGAATAAGTGGTGGAAAATAGTAGTTGCTAATACAAAAGGGTTTTTAGACTCTCCGTGTTTGATTTTCTTTTTTATATAAAAAAATAATGCAAAATTAACACAATTAATGCAATTGCTGTTTTTTCCTGTTGTGGTCAACGTGTGTTCAACATGCAAAGAAATATGGATAAGGTCTCATATATATATGAGCAATATCACAAGAGTAGCAGTGCGATATGGCTGTATATCGGCACTGGTGGGAGGCGTGCGTTGACACGAGGCCGCAGGCATAATTGTGTATATAAAAACAAAATCAAACATGGAGAGGCTCAAAAACGCTTTTGTATGAGGAACTACTTTCTTCCGCGTTGGATTTAAATCATAAGCTGACAGTTAAACAGCTGAGCAAGCATCTTTTAAAGATTCCAATGACACTTTAGATCTGTAGTATCTGCTTGTTGCTGGCTGTATGTAGGCGGAGTAATACACAAAGTGTAAAGATGCTGTACAAGTGCTGATAATACTTAAATATATCAGGGCTATCAGCCAATCAGATTCGAGAACCAGACAGAACTGTTGTGTGTGTGTGTGTGTGTGTGTGTGTGTGTGTGTATATATATATCAGTTCTGTCTGGTTCTTGAATTTGATTTGCTTATAGCCGTGCAATATTTTGCCAGTAACATCACACAAAGGGCTCTCCACCGTTCACCTCTTTGTATTACTCCGCCCACATACAGCAAGCAACAAGCAGAGATGCTACAGTTTGACAAATATTACTGTTGTTAGACAACAAAATGTACTTTTGAGGCTTTTTTGTCAAGAATGTAGTTTTTTAGATTGCAACTATGCAGTTTATTTGTAAAAATAGTGCCTATTTTAAAATATTTCGAATTTCAAAAGAGCTCGTCGGCGGCCAAAGACGGTTGAAGTTGTCTATCTACAAGATAGCGCCAGAACTGCATAATAAGCCCTTGCTCAGTGTGTTCTCTTGAGCGTGATTAAAAAGCTAAAAAACAGAAACTTCATGGTTTTTAAGGTGGATAGAGTCAATAAGAAGCTGCAAAAAAGAAGCTGGATTCAGCCTCGTCCCTCCTTATAGCAAACACAACAACAGTCTGGGAAGTTAGTGATTGCTCTGTTTTTTTCTAGGTTTATTATTGTGATATTGTAACGGTAACTTAATGTTTGATATGCATTGTGTATTAATGTCCCCTTTAAGTGGACTATTTCTGTGGTTGTTTTACCTATTAGATGTAAGTACGCATGTATGGGAGTTCAGTTTAGTTCAGCTAGCTCTGATGAGAAGTGTGTAATGGTCGCACTAGCGTAGTATCATTCTTTTATTTTAATAATGTAACATTTTATTTTGCAATGGATGTTTGAGTGTTTTTTTCTTTTCCTTTTGCCTAGTCATTGTCGTTGACTGGCATATATGTAGTTGACAGCACTTGGAAAAAACGCATAAAGGCCATATATTTATTTTTATATATACCCTAAATGTTTATATTTGGATTGTTTCTCTAAATGTTTTATTTAATATTTTGTTTATTTTCTTGTTATACACATCCATATAAAATCATTAAGTTTATTTCCTTATTTATTTGTTGTTGTTTATTTGTTGTTATTTATTGAATTC